GCAGTATGGAACCTTGTACTTCTGAAGCTTGCGGTACCAACAGCTGCTTCATGCGGTGTATAGAAGTTGCGTCGGGCGACGATCGCCCAGTTCTTCGGTGGTGAGGAGCTGTTGGATGCGGGAGCTCTCTGATGTCATTGTCCTGGCGAGAAGTATTGTCTTCAAATGGTCGTAGGCATCTTTTCGTGGTGGTAGGGCCAACACGTCGTCGAGCTGGTCTGCCACCTCCGCTGGTAAAGAGGCGACGACGTGGTAGTAGCGCGCCATTTGCTTTGTGATTCTTCTCAGGTGGAAACGGGCCTCGACCTGGGTAAACCAGACTTGCGGGTTTTTAGGCCAGAACGGTGGTAGACGAACCTCGATCGTAGCAAGAGCGGAGTCACCAGAAGTTGCTGTCACGTCACCGTCGGAAGAAGCGTTGCCTTGATCCATGTTTAGCTTGGATCCGGCGTCCGAGGTGTAAAAGTGACGCTGTTCAAGATTCCGGGTCACCAGTTTGTAGAAAACACGTCAAGCGACTCCGATGTCTCGGATGAAATGTCTTTAATCACGCGCGCTCGCGACCACCTCAGCGCTTGTGCATGGCGATGGTGCCGCGAGCTAAAAGAGAAAACAAAAAACAACAAAGTGTCTAGCACGGGGCCCCTACATCATGTACGAATGCAGCGTTTGGGGTACCCTACTTAAAGGCGCCTCAATGGCCCTGCCTAAACATGGTGTAGATAAAACAGCGCAGAACGACAAAGCCTAGAAGGAAGGAACAAACAGCGCCTGTGACGGCTTGCAGCTGAGCTAGTTGGTTTATGCTTGTTAAAGTGCCAGCTGAATGTTTTAAGGACGTACACACAGAGACGAACAAAAAAGGCAGACACACCTCTGGCTCAGCTTCAAGCTGTCTAAAAGAAGGGAGCTCCCTGTGTGTGTGTCCTTAAAACGTTCAGCTGGCACTTTAACAAACAGCGCCTCTCCCGTTTAGTTTCCTTCACTCTAGTCTTTGTCGTTCTGCGCTGTTTTACCTACATTATATTTATCCTACACCAACTAGCCCAACTTTCAAATTTGGTGCCTGACCTACTACACGTGAGCCTTCTTTGTCATTCAGTCGACCTTTTATGCATATTATTTTTGTTTAAAGTGAACTCCAGATATAGTGACTGCGGCGCTTAGTAAAACAGTGCAATCAACGTGCACGTTATAAATCCTTCAGAAAATGTTATTTTCAGCGATGTAACTATAGGTTGGGTGTCTTCTTTTTGCTTATTTCTCTCAAAAATGTATTGTAACATACGCCAGTGATGCTAATCATTTTACCGTAGCTACAATGCATAGAACAAAACTGCGATTTTGTTGTTTTGCTTATGTTGACTGCAAATAAAGCATTATAGCGTCACCGAAGTCGATGTAAATTAGGCAATGGGAAAATACCTTGGAAAGTAATTGAATTACATTCATAGTATTTGTAGTCAACTCAAGATATTTCAGATGAAAAGTATCTTGAGTAGTAGTCACATTATTTATAAAGCAAGTATTTAGTAACTTATCTTACATACTTTTTGAGTGTATTGTCCAACACTGGCTAACGTTCGATGGGCAATCAAGAAAAAGTTTTAAAAATTATTTTTTTTTTTACTATGTGTGTCTTTGTCAAACCTGTTATCGCGGCGAGGGGCAATGAAGTAGAGAAGACTGTACCTCCCAGGTCAGCAATGTTCCCTTATATCACCTCATAGCTAAGCAGACGCATTTACGCCAAGGTCACCATTAATCCGAACACTACGATTGCTAGGAGTAGACTATCTGTCCATATGTTTAAAAGAAAATAGCAAATTAAGCCAAAACAAGGCGTGTGTTACCTTTCGGAAGTGGGGCATCTCTCGGGATTTTGGGGTAGTCTTATCGACATAGCAAAAGTATCATTAAATAAAATTACTTGATTTTATTTATTGGTTTGTTTGACATGCATTCAAATGACATCTGAGGGAAGAATTTAAGGGCACGAGAGAAAAGTGTGTGCACAAATGTGTCAAGCTGCCAGCTACAAAGTAATATCTTATTCATTGAAAATTTCGAGGTCTGTGTCATGCAACTAAATATATTTATTTAATTGCAGCATCAGACAGCATCCATAAATTAACATTTTGAATACTGCTTATGCTTTGGTTTCAAATTTTGGCACTATTATGCTAGAGATGTTAAATATTTTACGCATATCTTAATTTGAAAACGAAACGTTCCCTGCTCCTATTTAAAAATATGAAAGAGTGCCCCGGAGGTTATAGTTATTAATTGTTTTTGTATTGAATTTGACAGCGACAAGGATAATACCCGTGACAATCTCATAAACGCATCCATGTTTTGCCCATTAAACAGTTTAATAAATTAGTCTTCAATCAATTCACAACTTGATTAATCGGTAGGTTACGCAATTAATTTTGCAGCCCAATTAACAACTACTCTGCACAAGTGGGGTGAGTTTCGGCGAAATCCTTTAGAATATTTTTTTCCTATCTTTTATCTGTTTAGGAATATCTCGTTGCACACGGCTTAACCCAGACCTACGTTTTTCACTATCAGCTGGCACCTTTTGGGAATCTTCTCACCGGTACCGTTGTCTCGCGAACATTTGTGCCTTACTGGACGAACATATCGGTGCAGGAGACAGTGATGTATCTCTAAGTTCTAACTATGATAATTGGTCGGTGTCAGAGTCATATAAAGCCCTTGCGAACTTCTCCATTTCGAAGAAGCGGTGAAAGCGTAAGAGCATTCGCGAGCGTAGTATGGTGTAAGACTGCGAAATATATCTTACTTGTCCGATTACACGAAAATGCGGCGGCGTTGTGCCCGAAAGGTTGTCACACCAATACGTCATCAAGCACGCACCCCAGAAATAAAGCGCGAAGAAAAGCACAGCAACGCAGATGCTTCGTCACGGAGGCCGTCGTGAAGCCGGCGGAGTTCGCCGCGCCTGCGCACTGGGGGACCGTGATGTCACCGCCGGAGCGCCGTGTGAAAAAAGAACACGTGGCGCGCTGCTTGTAGGAATACGCTGCGTGTAGAAATGCTTTCGCATTCTTACACGTTAGCAGTCTTAGGTGTCGTTTTTTTTCTTTCAGATGCAGTGAAATATGACGTGGGGAACCCATGGCATCCTTGCACGTGATTCACTGCTGTGCGTGTCCATCAATAGACCTTATTCAAATTGGCGCGCCATCTGTCGGACGTTTCGCCAACCTTCTTCCATAGCCCTAAAACATGGCGACCCATGTTTGAGGTGCGCTGCCATGGGAAAGTGATGCCTCACTACGTCTGTGTCTCGCTGCAGGATCGATGTATAAATAAGAAGTCACCTGGAGTAAATGTACGATTGCGTTTATTTTTCTTTTCAATCTAAAGTTTTTACAGCGAATCTGATTAATCGTATTGTTTTACTGGGATATATCCGAGTAGCGAACTTGAACGTGCGAACGTGCCGCCTGCATCTACCGCGCGCTCTGTCAGATTCTCTCGATATTAGCGGCGAGATGTTTTAGTGGCGCCCTCCTATGGTCCCCCCCGTGACGTCATTACCTTGCAAACAACAAGTTCGATGGTGCTTGTAAATAGCATGGTGCAAGCTTGAATTTATTTCGCTTTCAAAGGAACACTGCCAACACTGCCAAATTAAAGTTTCTGACGTCATAGTCAGCGTTCGGCCAATCGTGGAAGGCCGACCACAGCGACGCTTTCGGTCACGCACGTCGCCAATATGAATCTCGCCATTACTGCATTGATGGCTGCTTAAGGCTGCTTCCGACATTTGTGCCGGTTGCGTCAACAGCAACTAAAGCAACAGCAGGCTACTTCTTGCATTGCTTGTTACACTGTGTGCGGCAAACGGTTTTCCCGTTGACTACATTCGTGGTGTCAGTTCGGTAATTCTGAACGGAACCCAACCAAATTTCTGAAAAAGGCTCGCTGAATAAAATTCATTTCGAAGTGCCTCGCGCCTCCCCCACATCCCAGAAGGACAACATCATAATGAACTAGCGCGATAAACACTAAGCAGGCAGAGCTGAGACGGTGGAGAATCCTCAAAGTCTGCGTGGAAGCTCGATAAATCGCACGGGCGCCGAGGGATGGCACTAATAATGAATAAGGTATATTACGAATACTCAGAACGTGTAATTTATCTCCCGTTCTATGCCCTTAAATATAGCGCGATTCGAAGATGTTCCCGAATTCACACAGAATCGGTCGATACTCGTACCACAGTCTATGAAGAGGGCGGTGTCTCGGAACAAAAATAGTGTTGTTGTTGTCGTTGTTGTTTTCTTTCGCTGAGTTTCTTATGTCATCATTACGCGTTATGCAACATTTATGGTTTCACCAATGGATACCGAAATACCCCATCTTTGTTCTACTCACAATTCCTCGAATAACATACCTTTATTTTTCCGTACGCTGCGCCCAACATAGCAAGAATATCATAAGCAACTAAAATAACTGCGGAATATAACTCACCCTCACTTGATTATTGATAACACAAGTTAGAAAAAAAGACATTTCTGGAAATGAATAGACAGTATAGATCGTTTATGATAGGCTGCCTTTTGTCTTGCTGGTTTTAAAGAAATAAATTTTGCATAAGAACGTGACTGGACAGAATTGCAACAATCGCACCCTGCCGATACTCGACCGGCTTTGGTTAGGACTCCGCTATTCACGTATTGTTTTTCAGCAGTCACACTTCTTACACCCCTGTTTTACGGGTACGTAAAAAACAAACTGTTCTAAAGATACGGCGAATCAGCTCGCGACCTCGACTCTGCGCCTGCCTATCGGTGTGTGCTGGTTCGCCGAGTCTTTAAAGGGCTTCGTGCTAAAGAACTTTTAAGTGCCTGCGAAACAGTTTCATTCTCATTCAGACATTTTATTTTCCAGAACGTTTTTCAATTTGTCTTCATAGAATAACCTTCTCCTTTTTTTTCTTTTTCTTTTTTTTTCATTCGTTTTTGCAGCGCAACCGCAAGGGCACCGAAAAGCAGGACGCGGACGAAGCCGATCACAAGTACTCCGGTCGCGCAAACGCGGAGCTGCAGAAGAACCTCAAGCGTTCCCAGAACGTGGACAAGGTCTGCAGAATCATGTTTCCCTTCATGTTCTTTGTCTTCAACGTGATCTACTGGGCGTACTACCTCTACAAAAGCGAATTCACCTGAGGGGACCGGCGCTACACCCAGGACTGCGAGAGTGCTGGTGGTCGGACCAAGGACGTCGAGGATCTTCAGCAAGCGCAAGACCATCTAAATTGACCTATGGACATGTCGTGACAGGGTGGCCTCGACGAGAACTGGGACTTGACGAAAATAATCTTTGTTATCCTTGTGCTTCGACTCGGGTGTCCGTGTTGAACAGAGAGCCCTGTCATAGTCATTCACAGTTTAAAACTCGCAGGGTATGATCAACTTCCATCATTTCATTATCTCTGTTACAGGTCTGTCTCACCTCCCCACCTGATATGCGGCACAATAGAAGTCAATATGCGGTATTTACTGGGCGCCATATTGACTCCCATTTAACGTCGTCAACAACAGCGATCCCGGTTGGGCAGAATACACGTTTATACACGTTCAGCGTGCATTCCACCCAATAAAGACGCTGTTCTTGGCAGGCGATAAATAAGAGCTAGCTATAAATACGCGATGAGGGCAACACGCTCAAATGTGGCGTCCCGTGAATTCCACCAATCGCAAAGCCAAAATGGGGGACGTAATGTTCTGAGCTCTTTCAATCGATTGGGAGACTAAACAGCAGAATATTTTGTTAGACTTTTACTGCCGAGCGACCTTAAAGAGATAATCTGATATAAAATTGGAATCAAATTTATTTTTAACTACGTTAGAGTAGTCTTTCTTTAACAAACGCCTCTTTTTAGCTGAGCGTGTTCTCGTAGGACAAACATTTTAAATATCTGTTCTGAAGAGCGACGTAGAAGTTGCAGCGGATAGCAGCCAGAAATGACCCGAACTGAAATGAAGGATGTATGGCACTCTTTGAAGCAACAGCTCATCACCCTGCATATCATCAAAGTTATGCTGTTTTTATAGACCCACAAGGCCTCAAATAAAACGCGTCTTGGCCTATGAAGAAACAGGAAAAGAAAAAAAGAATCATAGGTCAACATGCCGTTGACCTATGAACATGTGAACTCTGCAGAAACGATTTGATTCTAGATTCAAAGATTCAATTCTGGTTTCTGTGCTTTTATTTTTGCTTGAATAGAGAGATGAAAAAAGAGTAAGAGATTTGATAGTTAAAGTAAAGCTACGAACCCATGGGCCAGAAAAGATTCATAAAATCGTCAAAGGGGGAGAATGCAATACCGCAGCCTAAAGACCGGAAGCACTCGTATTTGAACGCTGTCACCTTTATTTAAAGATGTTCGAGCTCGTATAGATTGGAGATAGAGAAACATTTCTGTCTAGTGTATGTGCACTGTCAGTAGACTTTACGTCCTTTCCCCAGGGGACCTCTACCAGACAGATGGGACCAAATGTGGCATTTGGTCTTAAAAATTACGACATCGCGCATCACCCTTTTCCACGTCGTTTTATGTCGACAGCTCAGCTGTAGTGGGTTACCCCTCGACTACTTGGTATAGTTAGGGACGGTCTAAGAAACGCAAGACGTGGCGAACGCCGAGCATTATATTATCGCTCAGCAGCCAGTGAACACAGAAGCACGACCCACGGAGCAAGAAGCACGAACACCATAAGCCACGTCCTGCGTTTCTTGAGTCGCCGGCGACTACTGTGGAAGCAATCGGGAAGGACTACCGCAGAAAACACGATAAGAGAAACTTCGTCCGTGTCCCATATTGCATTTACATGGTGGTTGATGGTGGGGAAGACGAGAGTGCCGCAAGCCACCTCGCGCCATCCTTCGATGCTCTTTCGTCGCTGTTTGTTCAATTGTTCCTCAGTCATGTACACAAAAAAGGAATCGATCTCACTAATCGAAGATCAGAGTTTCCCGCTGACTTTCGGGGTGTGTGGACGCCCAATCTGTGATTCGGGACGCGCGGTGCGATCCAAGTGTAATGTTTAGAGACAAACTAACGTTCGTCTGCAAAGGCGAAGCGCGTGATTCAGGCGCGAAGACGGTGGGACGCGCCTATGCCGCTAATCAAGATCAGCATCACGATCTCAGCCCGCACCACCGCGACGTCGCGATTGGCGCAGTTGAGCGCAACCCTCCGTGCGGCGAGCACAGGGCAGTTTCAACTGGAACCTCGTCCGTCTGTCGGTGTTTTTGAATCGGATCATGGGTCTTGTTCCTTCTGTAACGAATTTGCGTATGACGTGTGAGTATTTTTACCCGGTAACGTTTTCTAAAGTATCGTAAGATCTCTGCGTCTGGCGTACCTGTAACGTCGTACGCGTGCACGTGGAACATGCCTCGCGCACTTTTTGTGGATGTAGAACCGAGTGTCTGTGCTTGTGACTTTCGATTGAGGCTGTGTCAGTGAGTCATCCCATCTTCTCGTAAAACGCAGAACTAGGAAGGTTACTCGGAAAGTGTCGCGTCATACGCACCTGTATAGACAGGAATAAGTGCACTAATAGTCGTCGTCTCTTGTTTTGCGAGTTTATTAACCAAGATATCACCGAAATTTAAGAACGTCAAAAAAGAAATACTTTCGGAATTAAAAGCATAAATGTAGTCAATTGACTAACCATTATAAAACAAGGCTCTTATGTCTTTAAGGCTGAGGTTCAAACATGATAAATTGCCTCGATATTCTTTTTTTATTATTATTGATTTCTTCTTATTTTGTATTATGTGGCCTAGCACGCATATCACTGACAAATATGGGCTTTGGCCCATAAAGTTGGTTCACGGATTAGTCAAATAAGCCATCCGGCACGTTGCGACACTAATATAGTCGGTAAAAGCACGGCACATAGCCCTGATGATGATCGCCGTCACAAATGGCACTGGATCACGACTGGACAGTGGGTTCGCGACGCAACTGAAGAATAGCTATCGCTGCTCAATTTTCTTTCGTTCAATTTTGTTTTTCTTTCATTTTTTTTTTTCGGCTGAAGATGGAGCGAAGAGCTTGTTCGTGGTTTTGTGCGTCATAAAAACCATTATTTTACTTTACTATATATATAGTATATATGCAACAAAACTTTGCATTAAATACTGTTTCCATGTTGTTGTTGCAGTCACTGACATGATAAGAATGGCAGGTCGTCATTTTCGGACGCTCCCCCAGCGGCTGCCCGTCGCCTTCCGCCGTGCACTGCATGCTCGTGCACGCTTGAAATCTTATCGGAGGAAGGAGGCTCACTCTGGAAGCGGGACAACTGAAAGAACTCCCCACCCTTCCCATCCTGTCAGTGACTAAAAAAAGAGGAGAGGGGGTCCTTTATTTTCAAAGATCGATTCAGTACAGCGGAACATTCTTTTTTTTTTACATATATATAGGGCTACACTCTCCAACTGGCAGTCACTCACGTGAACTGCGTAAACGACCTGATGTCACTGATTTCGCTCCGTTAGGACTCGACGCGTGTCTAGCCTCAACTTTGAAGTCGTACTTCGATCAAATTGCGGACATTGAACCGTTCGCTTCTTTTTCGCCCTTGGGCGCACGCGGTGCATTCTGTAATCACGTGACTGCGGACCTCCATAGAAGCTATGAGGTACTATTTACAACCATTGTAGTCACCAGAGAGCTTAAGGAACGCTGGACGTGGCTCATTGTGTTCAGACTTCTTGCTTCGTGATAGGTTCTTCAGCTTCCTTGTCGTCTAATGCGACAATTTGATTGGCTGCTGAGCGATAATTAGATGCTCGATACACGTCACGCTCCACGTTTCTGAAGCACTCGATGACTCTGAGTGGAAACCAAGTCGAGAAAAAAAAAAGGAGCACCCGCTCTTTCGTGGCCAGATTCGTGCGAGTCCTAGAATTGTGAAACCAACAACAACAACGGGAACAAATCATTACGCTTTATGTCTGGCCGCCTTCAACCTAAATTGAATTTGAAATCTTAAAGCTTAAGTTTAACGAGTAAGCGGCATTAGTAAAAACAATATATGTACATTTCGCTCAGACTCCCACATTTAACAACTTTCGGGGTTAGGACAGAGCGTTACTTTATTCCTCTTTACTTCACTGTTACTTACGCAGCGTTGTTTTTGTTACCGTTGATGCGTTTTGTTCCAGTCCAGCGCATTGGCACGGTTTATTCATCTTCACACGCTCGACCGTTTTGTTTTAAGTGTTTTATTAAAGAAATGTTTTACTTTTTCCCGCTTCTTCTTACTCGTCCCGAGTTCCATCGCTTATTGGAGTTCAAAGTCCTCTTAATATTCACTTACAGCTTACATCAAATGATACCGAAGTAAACCCCCCTTTTGTGCTTGATTATTAACATTTTGTACATGTTATAGATACGTGTCCGATGAAGTTCCTACTGCGTCAGGGATGAAAGCAGCCTGATGCAGCGTCCACAAGTGACTGGGCATGCGTGAGTCAAACATGAGTCACGCGTACTCAGTCGAGGCCAAGGATCAGTGTATTTTTGTTTTTGCAAAAATGTGCACCCCCCCTTTTCCCCCTATACACCAACTCATGTTTACAAACAAACCGGAGCGCCCCTAGCGGACGCCACCGGCGCCGCGCATGCGCGGTGGATGGTGGGCAAGAAGCCCGCCGTCGCCCATAAACAAACCATTGAATTGCGTTGTTGTCGGCGTCGGTGGGAGTCCCCGTGGTCTTTTTCGCGTTGGAATCGTTGATGCTACGTCCTCCTAACAATGTCTGACTATTTGAGCGGCTTCAGAAAAACTAACGAGGCAAAACTTTGCGTGAATAATGTGACGTGCGCCGATTCATTTCACGTGGACGCCGCAGAATGGGCGCTAAAGCCTGACTCCCACGATGAGATTCTGCTCGCTGTTTTCAGACGCGACGTTGCTCGGACTGCAAAAGCGTGGACCGTAGCTGAGATGGTGGACGTCGATATTGAAAACCGCAAGTAGAATCGGGCATTACAAGTCGGTGATGGCCACTGGTAACAATAATGATAGACATCTTCTTGTATCTGTTTACACTTAGCCTACTTACCCCAACCAACCTTCAAAAGCGTTTTGAGGCCTGCACTTAGTTCTTGTCACAATTACCGGGTCAACGTTTGGTTTCCGGGCCGCTGTCGTTTGAACGAGCTGACGACAAAAAGCAGCCAAGTTTGAAAGAGCAGACGACAGTTCGAACGCATGCGTAATGGGGTACGGGCAAGAAGCACCGCGTCCCGCGTCAACAAACCACTCGAATGTCACGTTGTCGGCGTCTGTGTGAGTCTGCCTACTCTTTTTCGCGGTGGAATTGTCGATTTTACGTCCTCATCGCAATGTCTTACCACTTTTATCGCTTAAGCGAAATTATCAAGGCTCGTTACGCCGCTAAACTTTCCGTAAATAATTTGACGTGCGGCGATTCATTCGCATGAACGCCTCAGAATGGACGCCAAAACCATGATGAGATTCTTCCAGCTATTTTCGGTAGCGACGTCGCTCGTGTTGCAAAAGTGTAGAAGGTAGCAGCGATGATCGACGTCGATACTGAAAATCGGAAGCGGGAACAGACCAAGCGTAACAAGTAGGTGATGACCACCGGTACCAATGATCAGCATCTTGTATCTACTGTTTACGCCGAGCCTACTTAAGTCTTTTGAGGTCTGCAATTACTTTTTATTGCAATCACCGGGTCAAAGTTTGGTCTACGGGCCGCTTTTGTTTGAACGAGCAGACGACAAAAAGCAGACGTTTGAAAGAGCAGACGAAAGTTCGAACGATCAGGCGGCCGTGTGAATTTGAAGACGCACTGAACCCGTGGGTGGTTCGGACAACTTGGCGGTTTTCTCTCGTTTATGTTGGAACAAAGCAAATACATCTGGCGACCAGAAAGTGTTGCCCGCGCACGCAATCGTAGTTCGACACCGTCTGGTTTGCCCTTTTCACGGCTACTATCCACGTTCTCGGACGAACGGAGAGGGCAAAAACACATGAAAACTGATCTTCAAACCTTTCCAGACTCTCTTGGTACAACCCCCGTCGCAGCATTTTGACGAGAAAGCAGGTTTTTTGTCTCGTTTCTTCCAAGGGAACACAGGAATGCATGTCTGGCACGGCGACTTCTGCCCACCGCCACAGACCGGAAGTGCGTCCGGCGCGCCACCACCGCGGCGTGACGTATGAGAGTTGAGTTGGTGTATACTATGCCACTTTGGCTGCGGGATAACCTAAAATAAATAACTAGATAAAGGAGTGCCTGCTCTCGGACCACACTTGCTCCTCTCCGCTCTGCTGTGGTAGGCTAGAAGGGGAGGCACAACGACCGCACAGGAAAAAGCGGTCGCTCTATTCATGCCCATAGAGTGCGCAATAACCGGTATGCTGCCAGAAGCGCCACCTTGCACACCAAATCTATAAAAATGAAAATGCTAACACAAATAGGCATACTGAGCATTGTCTCTCACTTTGCGGGGGTATTGTCCAGCTGCAAATGGGAGCACCACCCTTTTTAATGTTCTAATATTTGTGTCGCACGCTTTGTTTTCTTTAGAACCTAGAGTTGAAAGAATTAACTGGTCTTTGTCGTTATGGCGCTGCTGCCAGCTTACCGATGCTACCATACTGATGAGTACAACACAGACTGCATTTTCTAGTCTAAACGTATGTTTCGGCATCGTCCTTCGCTGAGTTGCCTCCGTAAGTTGCGGTGATTTCCTTTCCGAGTGTTGTGTCGGAAAGTAGATGCACGGGCTTTTTTTTCTCTTTGACTGTTTCAGTGACAGTCCGCATCGCTGGAGAGATGATCGCAGTTATGAGATCGTCTTGAGAGTCCGTGACACTGACACTCTGTCCAGATGATGCGCTCAAAAGGAAGGACATTTTAATATTTATTTTTCTCCTTGCTTTGTACAGCCAACTTAAAGCAGACGCACATTTTGTAAACACGTAAAATTAACAAAAGACAGACTAATGACATCGTGTAATTTTATTTAGGCCAAACCAGAAAAAAGTGGCACAGGAAACGCGCGCACTCACCACAGCAACGTACTCGTGCATATGCAGTATTCAATAATGGCAACACCTACTATCGGTTTCAGTATTAAACATGAACCCTCAACTGCATCCTCGGAACCATATACTTAAAAACAACTCAGTGCCAACGTTCGAGAAAAAGAAAACGCACACGCGCGCAATGTTTCACTCGTCGAGGTTGCTGTGTACAAGAAACAGAATATCGTCAACATGTACGAATTCAGACTGGTTCGCCTCTCTAAAATTAATACCCGCTAATGAGAGGTCTCTCTCCGTTGAAGCATTTCATGCTGGGATAGCAAGCACGAACTGCGCTACGAGAATGAGATGCGGAAACTTGTGCTGGCGCAAGTTCCACCACTCCAGAGGATCGAATTCAGTCTCCGCGATCTATACTACTTGCATAGGAAGTATTCACTGGCGGCCATAGCTGTGTGCGTTACTGCTGAGCGCGTGTTGATGGCGAGCTTCCACTGTTCTTTTGTAACGTGCATCCCGCACCCTCAAGATTGCCGGTCTTAGCAGCCTATTAATGTGGGCTCGTTCTGAGCATGCCCTCTAGACATCACCCACAAATATGGCGCCCAGTGAATACTCCTTATAGGTTAGGAAGTCCGCTTGCAGGCTTCTTCTACCTTTTTGTGGCTTGTACGTCTTGGATTTTCTTGGCCCAAAGAAAATTGTCCGCTCTTTTTCTGCCAAACACGACCATGCTTTCTCGGGACAGCTGACACTCCTGCAGTCTTTTTCTTTTTTTAGGGACAGCATTCTTGGCGAGATAGAACGTTCTAAAGTGATCTTTGGTGAGAATCAAATCTTTCTTAACGTAAAGAGCAAGCCGCGATGTACCTATTGCTAAATTACCCAAGCATCAAGGAGAATACAGGGATTGGTGTTCCACGCGCCACACGCGCTGGCCTCGGCAGTAGTAACGGTCCTAAAGCAAATGCCTAAAACCGATTGCATCTTGTACGCGCGTTCGTCAACGCTTTATTTCGGTCATTTACTTCGAATCTTTTATAAGGGGAAGGCGTTCGCGTGTGGCGCGTGGAACACCAATCCCTGCGTTGTCCTTGTCGCTTGGGTAATTTAACAATAGGTCTATTGGTACCTTTTATCCAAGAGATAGCTTTTCACCCGTAAAATCAATTTATGACGCACTTCACGAAATCACTCGCTTATTCACTCTACACTGTGCGGTCGCACACGTTTATGGGCCGCTTCGACAAAAATGTAGATACGGACCCGCGGATACCCGCCTTCGATCGGCATCCGACGCCCCTGGCATCCGCATCCGATCCATAATCCGCCAGATTTGATTTCTTTGTATCCGCATCCGCCAGTTTACTGCGGATATCCGCGGATATGCAGTGCTGTACGAATGACCGAGCCTCAGATGTTATGGATTACCGTTACAAATTACTTTCGCCAAAACCTAACGCATTAGCTTGCTCGTTACGTTGCTAATTACTTTTACGTTACTTTTCCCGTACATATAAAAAAAACAATGGAAACAATTTTCATATTTTAAAAGATGTTCTGCAATACTTTCCATTTCCTATAAGCCTGCATTATAGTAGTTCTCGTGAAAATGAAATATTGTATTTGAGAGAAAAAATGTAGGTACGTTCTGTTCACCTGTAATCCGACAAGGCAGCCAAAGCTGCACCCACACCCGCCATCCCGCTAGCTTACGGCGGCCGAAAATTATTTCTAAAATTCTGCAACAAAGCTAGCGGTGCGCATGCCCAGCTGCGTCTACCTCTCCTACGACACAGACACCAAGAAAACGCCTACTCCGCGTTTTGTTCTTGGTAATCGTTTTTCGCATATTTTTATATGCCTTGCGGTTTTTTTTTTAATGGTTCAAGTGGCCGGTCATAGGAAACAAATCGCGTTTTCTTGTCGGCTATTGTCCCCTTCACTATATTTTCTTTCTTCTTTTTTTTGTTAAACTTTTCATATTGCTCCATTTTCTGTATTACGTTCATATCTTCTTAAAGTAAAAAGCAAAGTAATCTGTTAGCAATACTTTGTAACGAAATTACATTAGAAATTACTGCCTCGAAAAAGTTACGTGTCAATTACAAATTTACTTGAGAAACTGAGACAACACCTACAGATCCCCAGGATGTCCTCAGGACAACCTCTTGAGGACATTATGATGTCCTGGGGACGTCCTCAAGTGATCCTGGAAACATC